GTATATCTAAATAAAGTTTCTTATAGGACTGAAAGTATTCCTCAAGACTTACTCGATAGATTGCACGCCAGTTATTAACCGGATTATCCCAGTCCTTTCCTTTAAAAAAGTCAAGCTTTTGTTAGGGTGAGAGAATAGTGCCAATTGCGTAAAGATTGTTATCAATTTGATCGGTCTGGCTGTAATATTGCGAAAGCTTCTTCTCTGCTGCCTCAAGAGAAGTAAGTATAAGCTGCTTCTATATAACCTTCTTCCGTTTTAAAACAGTCTTTGACTTTTTAAGGTAGTTGAAGAGCTTATTGTAGATATTAAAGATCAGGTGAATACTAATATCCTTAGTTTTAGAAAGAAGAGTGGTGAATTTGAAGAAAGGCTGGGTGATCTAAAGAAGATAGTCAATCTATCGCCACTCTTCTAGACTTAGTGTAAAGTGTTCCTAGTCATACTAAGCGCAGAATTGATCAAAGGTTGATTGGAGCCGTTTAGCACGTCGGAGTATCAAAAATATCGAATTCCAGCGAGTTCGGATATCCTAGATCGGAACAAGCTTTGGCTCCTCAGTTTAAAGGTTATAGAATAACTCTCTCCGTTGTAGACTTACGTTAATATAGATAGTAAGGTTTCGGACCTATATAAGAATAGAAGGATTAGTATAATAAAAAAAGTAGAGTTATAGGGATATACCTTATTAAGTGTATTAACAATTTCTCTTTTTTATTGCCTTACACGAAGAGAGCGAACACAGTCGTCAGACCAGTCTATCTCCGCACTCTTATTCTTTGGAATTGCCTTTATCTTCCTAAGAAGATCATTCAGACTAAGCTGGATAATATAGGCAATATAAGGAACCCGAACGATTATAGCACTATTGTTTAGCTTAAGCGACTAGAGTGATTCTTGGATACTTACTATTATAGTATTATTATTTGATATATTGTCAGTAGTGACTGTAAGTACTCGATCTGCAATCTTATACTGATAGAGGAGCTTTAAAACCACATTACTTAGGTTAACACCTAAGTGTAAGCTAGATAATGGTTCAAATCCAAGAAGAACCTCTCGATACTCCCAATACTGGTCGAGGAAGTAGCCAGTAACAGCTATAAAGGCCTGTCGAAACGGAGATATCCAGCAATCTAATACAATCGAAAGCTTTATATTGGGAGGAAGCTTATTAAGAATAGACTGTTACTGTTCCTAGATATACCGCCGTAGTCGAGACCGTATTGTGACCGCAGAAGGGATCTATAGTTATATCGGGGTAAGTCGGGCAAAGTTAATAACTTCACGAAATTCTAGGTATTCAATAAACTTAAAGGGGAGACGGGAGAGGGTAAGTAGTTGTAAGAGCTTCTGTTCCTATACCTCTTGCGTAAAAACTGTTGACTTACTTAGTACGTTCTGCGCCTATTAATCCAGAGAGTTATTAGTAAATAAATAATAGAAAAATTGTATAATATATACGGTATTTATAAGTAGTCCCTTAATATTACCCTTCTGGGTACTGGATTTACGACAAGTCGGTCCAGCTAAGTGTCGATAAAGTGCAGTTGTTCTATACCGCCTATTTGCTGGATAATCGAGGACTTTATAGTATTGACGATATATTGCCCCTAGTTTGCTAGTTTTTGTATCAGCCACTTGATCAAATTGCTCCTAGTAAGTGGCTGTCCGGTTACTATTCCAGTTTAGTCGTTTTTTTGTCTTTCCAAACTCAGTCTCTAACCACTAGGAAACAAAATCATCTTTTGATATATCGGTGTATAGAATAAACGCTATTAATCGACCTAGGCCAATACGCTGAAGTAAAGAAGGAATTGAAGGTAGAGGAATTGGGGTAAGAAACCCAGAATTTGAGGTGGTATCAAATATCTACTGGCTTTCGGAAACCTTAGGGGTTAGGAATTGCTTATTCGGAAAGCAGAGAAGAGGGTCGACTGAATTTGTAGGATCACCGTCGTAGATAGATAAGGAATAGATATCTGAGAACTGAGAAATTTGAGATATTGTTAACCAAATAATCACTTATAGATTATATCTTAACAACGGGATAGGAATCAGAAGGTAGATATACCAAGAAAATTAACAAATCCTAGTAAATAGAATTGATCAACTACCCTGAAGTTCAGCTCACTGGGTAAATAGTAAATATATCACAATTTGATCCACTTTAACTTAAGATAATCTCTATAATTGGCTAGATTTACTAGGCTAATTAAGGGCCGCCCTTATCCAGCCCTCAATCCGCCCTCGGAATATACGGGCCGCCCTCAACCCGCCCTCAACCCGCCCTCAAAAATCAGTATTCAGATAAGAAGTATATACCCCAGGTCTAGCTGAAGTTGCAAATATATATTTCTCTAACTCCATCATCTAATATTGACAACCTTCACAATTGACAACAACCAATATACTTAAAGATACTAAGAATATATAATATCATTATTACCTACCATGATTTATCGTAATACAACTCAATTTCATAAAGTTTCTTGATGCTGATAAAGAAATAGATTGTAAATATAACATTCAAACCAGAACACCGTTAAATAACCGTAATTTAAAGTGATGAGTTAGCACTTTTATACATCTAAATTAGGAAAGGTCAACTTTTTTTATGTAAACGAGGGCCGATGAGGGCCGCCCTCGAGCGGCCCTCAGAGGGCGGAGGGTCGGGTGAGGGCAGGCAAGTATCCGCCCTCCGCCCGCGAGGGTCGGGCGGAGGGCGGGAGATTCCGGCCCTCTGAATGTTTTTAATGAGGTCTAGGTGTAAATAACAGTTATTTATTATGCAAAGTCAGCGAGTTATACGTCCATTTTGGGTGACTTTATGCAATGGTGGGCATCGTGGGCATGCCCGCCGTGGGCATACCCGTGGGCCTTAGGCGTTATGGACGGGCACTCGAAAATCCAAATAGCCCAAGGCCCACCGTGGACGGGCCTTGGGCACCTCCTAGGTGCCCATGGACGGGCGATGTCGCAGTCTATTCCTCGGCGCCTACCTAATCCACTAGGACTCTAAGCTAAACTATATACAGCTAAACGAGTACCGTTAACTGCACCGACTCAATTCTCTACGGATACTTTAGACGATAAGAACTGTAAGAACAATCTTAAAGACCTCAAACGGCTATTAAAGGTTTCAAAAAAGTTAGAGGCCAATTACGAGTTAATAATAAGGCACCTCTAGTTAGAGGCGTATTGGTTTAGAAATAGAATACTTCGGTTAGAAGAAGAGTTAATAAAGTACCCAGAACCTCGAGTACAGATAGAAGAGTGGTCCCCAGTTCCCGATATCTCGGAATTACCTCCTTACATTGATATTTCAAATACAGTCTATCCCTCTTGCGAGAAGGATTAGGACCCGGAAGATAGGTATGATTTCCTTTACTATATATAATTAGAATTATTGCTTTGAAATTCTTAACCTAAGTCAAGAATTGTGAACTACCGAACCCTATCCCGAGTAGGAGGCTCGGGAGCTATATTAATCCGCTCCGGCGGATTTTCGCAGCAGAATCTAGAGTATATTACTCTAGCCCCGTAGCTGCAGTCTAATATAAAAAACCTTCTTTTATTTATTTATCCCGTGCTAGCAGTTGTCTAGTCTAGTCGTATTAAGTCAGGCTTGACCTCGTGTTAGTGAGCCTTGTTACCCTATTCCAGTGGGAAGGGAAGTCTTAGTTCGTTGTTCTTGTTATTATTACCCTCGCCGGCGTGTGGTGGGGTTGTTCTAGACCCCGAGACCGACTTAGTGTAGGTCGGTGAGTCGAGCCTAACCGGTTGACCTCGGGCTACTTTCCCGTTTTGACTTGGACTCGTGTTGTCGAGTCAGGACCGATCCCGTTTTCCTTACTCTCTCTTTATTCACTTTCATTTGTCCTTGTCTCACCATATATGTCCCGTACCAAAACGTGGACCCCCGCGATTTGCCCCCAACTTGTATTCTGATTGGTTGATATTTGTTAAACTTGTGGGCATCTCCAAGGCTCGGCCTCTTTCGCATCCTCGGTTCGATTCAAATATCTCGGGCTTCTCATACTCCGTGGCCGTGCCTACCTAGTAGGTATATCCTAACTATCTGTACATACCTAGGTAGATAAGAGAATATATAACAGTGAACGTAGGATGCACCTGGGGGTGTTTGCTTGGTTTGTTGTTTGCTCTGTTTGCCTTCCCCCTTTCCATCACAACATTGACAGAGCTTGGGACACTTCTCCAACTTGTATATAAGCATAGAGAAACAAGACCGGACTTAAGATCAGACTCTAACGCCTATCAATCATGATTCTCCCCGGGCGCACTCTCATCACCCGCTCCATTATCCGCAATGTCAAATTTCCCACACTGCAGGCCCAGCCATGTGGTGCAGACCTCACACTGAAGCGCGTCTTGAAATGGACCTCGCCTGGAATAATCGACTTGGATAACAAACTTCGCCAGCCGGCCTCGACTGAAGAGATATCATTCCCCCCGGCAACGGAAAATACAAACTCATATTTAGATCTCGTGCAGGGTTCTTACCTCGTGGAATTCAATGAGATTGTCTCCGTTCCTCTGGATGTGATGGGCGAGATTTTCGTTCGCAGCTCATTGTTCAGGTCCGGAGTGACGATACATGCTGGTGTTATGGACAGTGGGTATGAGGGGGCTGTTGGGGCATTAATGCAGGTCGTCAATCCCATGGGGTTAAGGCTGTATCCTGATGCTCGTCTGGCGCAGTTTGTGTTCCACCAGATGAGTGAGAAGGTTGAGGGTTACAATGGAGTTTATCAGGGGATGACAGCTTTGTCATAACCAAAGTATATATGCAATCGCGCCGATTGATGTCTTCTAGTCCATTTCTAACTAGATTAATTGTCCACAAACTGGAAAGCGCCCGACCAGGGGTTGATCTGAAAACGCCTAAAGGGAGGGCCGCACATCTCGGCAGGCTTGAATATTCTCGTTTCAAAGCCTCTGTCCCGAACTGAGAACCACCACTCCCTTGGTCCTTGCTTCTATAGCGCAGGCATCATGCGCTGGTCACCGTCGCGGTACACAGGATGTTTTTGTTGCGGCAATCGGCCAATCGCTTCAAAGCATAGTTCATGAAATTTTGGCAAATCTGCTTCCTCGATAGTCGCAATTATCTTTCCTCTAGGATTGGACACAAGAGTGCGGTTGAGTCGGGCTGTGTATTGATTCCCATCTTTCCGATCGCTCTGGAAGGAATGTGTCCAACCTGTACTCTCTGCCTTCTCTTTCTTAATGATTGAGTTGAGTTCAATGTAGAACTCCCAGTCGGGGCGTCCATTTGTTTGGGTGGAATAAACGTTGAAAGGCATGATGGACAGTTGGGGATGTTTTTGATCTTGTCAGATGGACTTTTTCAAAGTGTGAGTTGTGTACCGGGGAAAGAATGTGTGGGATTGTGCAGCCTGACATAGTTTACTACTATGAAAGCAATGATACACCTTAGAAAAGATGCTGCGTTAATGTTTCGGGAGTGTGAAGACAGTCAAAGGATCCATATATATCGGGATAATGTCTGACAGACCTTGTCTTTCCCTTCGTGTTCCAGTGCTCATCTCTTCCTAGGTGTTTTGTATCATTTAAATGGGCAGAAGAGCCCTGGAATAGTAAAGTGGTTTCAAAATTGATGCTTTGACAAGTGGCTGTGATATGCGGTCTACCCTTTAGGATACATTTTTTCCCATTCTTTAGCTCCCTTCAATTGTTCCCACCCATGAACCCTCTGATCCACAAGGGCATTCACTCGCCATCGATCCTGTGTTCCCTTTCTCTTTTGACAACATCTCGGCACTGCTAGTACCTTCTTCCCAATAAATTCAGCCGGATTTACTGCAAATAAAAGCCATGTATTTGGATAAGCACCATTATCATCCTCAACCTCAATGATGTTAATCTGCAACACCTCAGGATTGGTATCATTAGCTGGGACAAGATAGTCGAATGTTACACCATAATAGTCTATCAGCCTATTCAGATTAATAGGAGTGATCAGCTATAGGGATACTAAAGCTAGTTACTTCCACTATGAGATAATGATACAAACTTACTCATCCGGACGCTTCTCTGGCATCCAGCCCAAGTACACATCCTGCACCCCTAGATCATCAGGAATTTCCAGAGAGATATCCCGTCCGTATATGGTTTGATACGTTAATCGTGCTAGCTCCGGGCTTGCTGGCTGTGGAAACTTTCGGTCTCGAAGATTCAAATGCCACGGGATGTGAGGCAGGAGCCTCTGTATGGCGATCAGAGGACCTTCGATCTGGATTCTGAGGGGCTGATCAGAGGGCGGGAAGTGATGCCGGCTTGTGGGAGTGTGAATACAAAGCGGGATGTAAAGTGGGAGCGCCATTAACCCCACGGGATGTATAAAGAGAGAATACCAATCAAGTTTAGAGAGCTATACTAGGTAACAGAGAAGACTTATAAGATGTCTCCCTTTTTAACTGGCACCTGGAACCGAGCCCGTGCTGACATCTACTCGGTGAGGCTGAACTTAAGCGCCCTAATTAAAGCGGTAGCTCAGACAGGAAAGGCCCACCATGGAAAATCCAGTATAACTGCATATGTATATGAGAAGGCCTTGTCTTGAGAGATACAGACTCAGGTCCAAGGAACAGCAATTTTGCTCAGGTGAAAGACAGCAGGGGAGCTGAGGGAAAAGGAAAACTGTCCCTTAAACAAGAAACATATCCTAGACCATACTAAGCGTCTTAGCTTCAATTGCATATCCAAAATTCCCGTACATTATACATCTATCTCAGCAATTGTGATATGATACTATTTTGAGGAGCGGTCTCAGACAAAAAACTGTATGTAGACAAGAATAATTAATTTCAATGCTATCGAGATCCCAACAGAGAAGTCCTAACTGTAGGCCCAATGTCAGATATGGCGTTTATGGAACCATATACTGTTTCTTGTGTTAGTAGGCATCATATTATCCCCCAGAAGACCACGAGACCAAAGAAATAACTAACCCATCACAGAGACTTAAAAATCCCCTTCCTGAAGGCCATATCCTCGACATCCTTCAGCCACTCCGTGCAGCGGTAGAGCGGGGTATCAGGATACAGTCGGGTTCCCTTGAGCGTCACCTGGGCCCGTGGAGGGAGAACTGCTAGGCAGCATTCCTCCCGGAATCTCTCCAGGTCTTCCTCCTCAATGGTCCCGATCTGCTTCTTTGAGCCTGGCACATGTTCTGGCAGCTCCTCCGAGTTGGGCGTTTGCCTGGGCGTGTAATCCATGCCGTTCAGGATTGTTCCAGTGACATGGTGCAGCCAGCCCCTGTCTTCGCTTGGGTCGGTTTCAATGTAAATGGCAATGTGGTTTCTCTGCGCGCCAATTGACTCAGTGGTGAAGACTTTGAGAGCCATGGCTGGCGATGTACAATATTGATTGTGTTTTTGAGAATAACATTTAACTGCGAAAGCTGGGCTTTTAAGATGGAATGGGTTAGGAGTTTCGCCATGCCAACCAGCGGCTAACTAGGTATATGTAAGTCTTACCTGAGGTCAAAGGCAACCACACTCCTATGTTTATATTGACAAAGATTTTGCTAGACATGTTTCATGTCTCAAGCGGTATGTCATACCAATCCCACAGAAAACAATGTCATCACCCTGCAGTGAAAGAATATAGTCATGCTAATCATTTACTGTGTACACTTCCAGAAGAACTATGTGTATTGAAAGTGGTGGCTTCAAAGGAGACCGTGATGGATAGAAGTAGGGACTCTTGAACATGACATATTCCCACATGAGTGGTCCACAGTTCCACGGTTAAGAAACCAGAACTGTTTAAGTATCAAAACATGCATTTTTGAAATAAAACAAAGGCTGTACAAAGTCAAAACACCTTCATGGCTTCCTGCCAGGTATGCATATAATACTAAGAAACAAATCCATTTCAGGGCTTCCATATGCCCGGAGTTCAATAAAAGATGATCGTGCATGTCTGACCAAATCTGATCAAGATTGGAAGTTCATGTTATAGCCACCTGTCTTCGGGTCTTGGACGAACTTGAAATTGTCCGTTGACAGACCAAATGGACTCAAGATCCCATTACCGAGCTTTTCGATATCAGTATTGCTCTATCCTCTTGACATGAATATGATCACGGAATAAGTACTCACATCCTTCAGCTTGCCCATCATATCGCCCATCTCCTTCTCCCGCGCCTTATTGATGCGATCGGGGAGTTCCCGCAATGCCCGTTGGACAACTCTTTTATCATCTGCCGGAAGACTGTCCATTGCAGCAAGGACCTGATAGTCCTCCGCGGCACCTTGTAGACTACCCCAACCACCGATTTGGGTCTTGGCCTTTGCGCGTCTCATGAGGACTTTGGCTCGAAGTCGCATCACCTTGCTCCTCTGCTCGTCCTGTTCCTGTAATCGTTGTAATTCCTTCAACTCGGCTTCTTCGTCATCTCCGGATAGTTCAACCACTTCATCCGTGTGTTTTTTGTCGGATTCTGGGACTTGTTTCCCCTTCGACTCGTCGCCCTTGTCCTGTGGGGTCGGCGGGATAATTTTATTCAGGCGTTCGATGGATATGGTTGCGGAGTCTACTGCGGCCTTCCAATCTTCCAATTTCAGATGGCAAGCAGCGATGTTACTGTGAATTATGGCGACATCGTAGTCGAGATAGTTCGGGCAGGAAGCGAGGGCTCGATCGTAGCAGGAGATGGCTTGGTCATAGCTTTTCGCGAGAAACAGCTGATTTGCCTCTGATTTAATTTCGTGGGCTTCCTTCAAGAGTTGCTATCGCAAGGGAAATTGGAGTCAACATGCGGCTCGGGTTATAAGCTAGAACACCTTTACGACTCACGGCTTCTTCCTCCGGGGGAAAGTGGGCATCGTGGAAGACATCTTCGTCGCCACTGTCATCGGCATCGGTAGGAGCACCTTTCCCGTCGCGTTCGGGTGCATTAGAAGAATTGCTCATTTTGTGAGTAGCTCTGATCATTGTCGGGCGAGAACATCTATCGGATATTGCCAAGGGTTCAATCACGGGACTGATAACGTTCGTTCCCCGCGTCTTATCAACGCCTTGTCAACATCCCACTCTGACGCCTGTGAACAGATCATATAGCCATGGCTTCCACTAATGAGTGAGTACAATGTGGCTGCATTATGGCCGCAATTAAACATCAATTGACCTGGTTGACAGCCTTCCCCGTATTCGAGCATGTCTCTTCGACATGGATGGCTTGTTGATTGACTCAGAGGATTTGTACTCCATAATCACGAATGAAATCCTCCAGAAGTACGGCAGACCCCTGCTTCCCTGGTCAATCAAGGCGCAGCTGCAGGGCCGACCTCAGCCGGAGGTTCGTTACCCTTTATATCACTGTGTACCCGCATACTTACGCTATATTCAGGCCGGCAAGATCTTCAATGACTTTGCCAAACTCCCCATCAGCGAGGAGCAGCTGAACGAGGAGCGCTCAGCTCTTCAGCGACACTACTTCCCACGGTCCAAGCCGCTTCCCGGCGTGCCTACTCTGTTGTCCAACCTTGTGTCAACACAGTCAACCGACGACCCCGTGTACATCGCGCTAGCAACATCATCGCACAGAGGCAACTACAAATTAAAGACCGATCATCTGACAGAGCTATTCTCGGCATTCCCCGAACCCAATAAGGTGCTTGGTGATGATCCTCGCATCGGCAAGGGCCGAGGCAAGCCTCTTCCCGATATCTACTTGCTTGCACTGGAGACTATCAACATTGAGCTACGCAACAAGGGAAAGACCGAGATCAAGCCAGAGGAGTGCCTTGTGTTTGAGGATGCCGTTCCTGGAGTCGAGGCTGGCCGTCGTGCCGGTATGCAGGTTGCTTGGTGCCCTCACCCTGGTCTTCTAGGAGCCTTCAACGGCCGGGAGGAAGAGGTGCTTGCTGGAGCCACCGGTTCACATAAGGAGGAGGAGAAGAGCGAAGCCCAGAAGGAGGCAGAGGAGCTCCAGTCCTGGCGTGTGCAGGGTTCTGGAACGCCTGGCAAGATCGGTGATGGGTTTGGCCAGCTCTATTCCACTCTGGAAGACTTCCCATATGCGAAGTATGGCATTCGCATTCCCTGAAGCCTTGGTCTGGTTTTCGGAAACAGTACATACTATTGAGGTTGGTTTTGGATGTCAATACGCGTTACACGAGACCGAGTAGAGCATCTAGCTAGAAAATAATCTACATTCGCGCAGTAATTTAACGGCCTTTTGATTTCTGAATATCTACAACGCTTCTTTGTACAAGTTTTTGGGTTGGACTGTCAGTACAACATGTGTGTATGTATACTTTATTCAATCCTTTATGCGTAATAATACTTACTGCCCTCCAAAATATTTCGGTTCTAACTTTCGCAAAGCCTTATTTCGGTGTGGCAAAGAGGATATTGGAGACAACTGCGGTAGCACTTGTAGTGATCTTTGTTTGCAGTCATCTCTCTCGCATTCCAAGGTCACTGATTCCGTTGGATTATTTGTTCAACTAGCACTTGATCTCATTCCTATACCAATGAAAGAGAGAGAGAGATAGGATCGATTTTACTTTTTTACCTCAGGGTATAGGCTCTAAATCATGGGTTTTCTCGGTTTCTGACAACAGAAATGGCATCGACCAGACCTTGAGGCTGTTATCGACCTGCTCAATGTTCTTCGCTGAAGTTTCTTCGTCGGAAGAATCATCTGAATCAAAATGTCTTTGCCCAGAGCACGTTGCAACAACACTTCCCATCGGGTGAAACATTGTGCTCGTCACGGCATCTGTCATATATCAGCACTGAGCATCTTGGAGCTTGTCAAAAGACTTACCATCATGCACCTTAAATTCCCAATCGGGGTCCTTCCCACCTTCACAGTGCTCTGGACTCCTCCATACCCTCATAAAACCATCGGTACCGCCAGCCCAAATCTCATGGGAGCCATCAGGACCAGATGGAACAACATCAATGTTAATGCGTTGATTAGTACGGGCCTTGCGCCCGCGCAAGTGCCCAAGCAGTTGCCCCGTGACCCGAACATCGTAAACCAAAACGCCATCACTCTTGCGCTCAGCGACATACAGATATCTGCCACAGGGGCTCCAGACAAGCTGTGTAACTCCGCGACCCCCGATATCACGGTTTGCACTGGTCTTTGCCACACTGAAAGTCCCAAGAAGCTCACCCGAGCCATTTGAGCTGTACAGTCCAATGTGTCTGGTGAAAGTACCCGCAGCAAGAATACCGTCCCCGCTAGGGTTTAGAGCCAGAGCTGAAACAATGCCCTTCATGCCAATACCGCCGCCGACAATCTGCTTGCGTTTGCTGGGGATTGTCGGCATGGAAGATATTGGGCCTTGTGTTCCTGTTCGGGACACGTCGAAGAGACAAATGAGGCTATCTGAGCCCGTGAGGAAGTGAGTGCCGCCCATCATGGATGGAAAGATCATCGAATGTGGTGTTATAAATGCTTCTGTCATAGGATTTACCAGGGAATAGCTCGCCAGTGATGTGGGAGCCAGAGCTGATGATAGACGAATTGGATGATCACGGACAGATGAGAGAAATAGGGTGGTGGATGGATCTTGAAGGTTGTAGAAAGGATATATTGCGGTAGCGTAGGTCGGTTCCGCTGAGGGCAATGTTGAATATGGAGATAGTTGGTGCATGGGCTTGTCCTCCAGTAGATCCGGTGGCCTGACTTTGTGAGCGAAAGAATCAATAGCAGGAATGACGCGCCAGCTTACAAGATCCATGTTCTGATAGAATGATCTGCTGAATCTGTCAGCAGACTCGTTCCATCCGGGGTCCTGTACACCATAAGGTCAGTAAAGATTAATCATGGGTCGCTGTACTAGAGTCCTACCATTCTGCACTCTTGAAATACCGTAGATCGGTATCTTGGTCGATGGATTCATCACTATAGGTTGCCCTAGACTGGTGGCTTTGGAGTGTTGATGATGAAACTGAAGAGAGTCGCGATAGATCGACTGGTGATGACTTTCTCTCACTTTGTCGCTTTGTTGATGCCACACATACTGGCGTCCACTCTTTGACGTTGTCGTCGGCCATAACGACAGATACCGTTGGCTTGACTGGATAGCTGCCTTCGCTAGATGGTTTAGATGCAACACATTTAATCGATGGTTCATTTGATTTCAAAGATTTGAATAAGACCAGATTCGAAAGGAGAAGGAATAGGTCAAGTCGGACATTAATTGAGTCAAAATCCGCGAGCTACGCAAATATAACGACAGTCAAAGATATGGTATCTCAACGAGGTTCACAATGGGATACCAATTATACTATATAGTGTCCAAATATTGAAGAAAAGCCATACAAATGAAGTATGAAAATGAGTAAAAGGAAGAGAAACCGGTCAGTCGGATAAACAAAGCACCGAGAAGCTTCGCGCATTCCGGAAATCGCATTTGCGCAGCTTTGTTCCTATTGAGGGGGGCCCATTGACAGGTTCCATTTTTATCCAAGTATTTGAGGCCTATTGTTATACGTATTCTCAATCATGTTTGCTCCCAAGGCAGCGGCACCTGCCACAGGGCTTTCTCTCAACACGACCTCCACAAATTCTTTGTTGTTAGTGCTCCCTCCCGTCGTTCTTTGTCTCTTGTTACACCTATCAGACCTATCGCCTGACCCCTTGATCTGATTCGCATCGTGTTCTCTCCCAATCCTTTGTTACTCGCAGCTTACAGGTTGGGGTCACGTTGATCTCAGGCAGAAAAGCAAAAGAAAAAAAATGCTAACCACAATCTCTCATCAATAGCGGCGGTAACACAGCCACATCCACAGCTACGCCCGGCGCAACCAATACTAGCAGTCTCTTTGGGAACGCTGCGAGCGCAGCAGCACCCAAACCAGCAGGAGGCTTGTTCGGCGCTCCAGCCACAGGAACCACAACACAAGCACAACCGACCGGATCCAACATGTTTGGAGGTCAACAGCAGAGCAGTACGGCCGGTAGCAACCTTTTCGGGAGCGCAAATACCACGACACCGGCTTCTGGGGCTGGGACGAGCTTGTTCGGTGGAGCGACTGCTGGTGCTGGCACCAACACGACTCAAGGAACAACAGGCGGCGGCTTGGGTGGTAGCACTCTTTTCGGCGGCGGTACATCTACAACTCAAACTCAAGCAAAGCCAGCCTTTGCTGGACTCGGTGGACTCGGCGGTGGGCTTGGTGGAGGATTAGCAGGAGGCACTACAGGAGGCCTATTGTGAGTACCTTTTTTTTGTTCATCTCGTCTTATGACTTATATTCTAATGATTTACAGTGGTGGCGGCCAGAGCACAACCCAACAACAACAACCTCAAAAACCTACCCTCTCTCTCTTCGGCCAGCCAGCGCCCGCACAAACCACACAACCACTACAACAGAACACCACTACCGCTGCCAGCACGGTTATCCCAGGCGTGAAAGTTGACGTCAGCAATCTCCTACCAACCACAAAATTCGAGAGTTGTGCAGATGAGATCCGTAACCAAATTGAGGCTATTGACAAGCACATCCTGAACCAGATGAAGATGTGCCATGAGGTCGGGGATCTGCTACCAACTATCGAGCAGCAGGGTGCCACAATTCCCAATGATGTGGAATTCGTACAAGGCAAACTGGAGACTATTCAGCACGCGCTTGAGAACGATGCCAGTGACATTGATGCTCTGCGCAGCCTTGTTACGCGGGATGCGGCCGAGGCCCAAGTTGCCTTCCGAGCCATTGATACGTTGAAGCTCCCTCTGCAATACCAGTCAACTGGGGGTGGCTGGTGGTCTGTGCAAGATCAACAGATTCCAGAGCGATCTATGCGCTCGAGCCGCAAAAACACACTTGCTCTTCCTGACGGCGTTGAGGGTGACGCATCTACTGACGTCAATGGAATCCCCGTCAACCTGGTGGATTACTTCTCTCATCGCTCGAAGGAGATGAAGGAAGCTCTTACAAGATATACCGGCAACCTCAAAGAGATCGAAGACCATCTTCACGGTGTCGAGGCTACGCTCAACCGGCAAATCAGCGACTTTGTGAGCTCCAAGTCTCGTGAGGCAGCTGCGGCGACACCCCGATCTACCAACGCTGAACTTGCCGATGTTTTCGCAGATGTCGAGGTTGGCATAATGGGAGTTGCCACTCGTCTGAGCAATGTGTCTGAACAAGTACAAGATCTGTCAATTGGGCAACAGTCCCTTGGCGATGGGCGTCTTCATCTGGGATAGATAGAAGAATTTAGCGAGTTTGATCTGTATTTTTATGGGAGCTGATCTTCAGCATGCGAAATATGACATCCAAGCAGTTTATCTGTTAACTCCGAACTTTCATTAGTCCTTAGGTAGCTGTAGATCGGACTTGTAGTCATCTATATCGTACACCTGGGCAAGCTAGGTCACCTTCTCTGAGGTTGGAATTGGCTCATTCCCAAAGTTTATTGATTTGAGCCAATGTATTCAAGCTCTATATATAAAACACTAAGTATAAAACACTATGTAGAAAGTACACGGTACATATATAGTAGTAATTGCTCCATACAACTGTTGCATCGGGTTAAGTGAGGCTGAGTCACCCGTCGCAAAAGTCCGCCACTCTTGCGTGATCGCCTCCTTAGCGCCATTCCTAATCTCAACCTCCACTCTGCTGCATGTACTCCGTATAGATCAACAACTTCTATATTGAACACGCGTTATATGACCCTTGACTTGAAGGAGATCTTATCTGAAACAGCGGTGAGGGGGTCTATTGACTGAACAGAGTTGTTTTGCATGTTCATTCGATGAAGATGGCAAATCTTGCCATCAACGTCAGCGAAATTGCGTGATCGGCCTGAATTTTCTGGAGAAAGAGCGGGTCTCATTCTCCAATTGCTCAACCAATTATCTTGTGTATGTCTCTCTATTATATTTGCCTGAGGTGATTCATCTGAGAAATTGCGCCATCTCCGTGAACTCCGGGGGCATGCGAGAGATCCGTAATCCAGAATGGCGTTATCCGGGGTTGACTCACTTGTATCTATATAATTCCTTTATGCCCTCTATATCCAAACTTAGTTTTATACCTGGCATCACCATCGTCTCTTCTCATTTTCATCTGCATTCTCTTCACATAAACACTTGCATTGGAGATGGCGCCATCATTAGAAGAGTCCGTGGTGACTGTGCCTTCACCTGTGGCCAAGTTCACCGTTCCAGTCCTCGCGAAGGACCTCGCTGGCGACAACAAGTTTGGCTATCAACCCGGCCGAACACCAATCACTCGACACGACAATTATGCATACGAAGACTTTTTGCCCACATTTCCAGATATCCATTGGCCTCCGCTTGCATATACTCCCTACCAGGACAAGGGACTGCGAGGAGATCCTAAATTCCGCAACCTTCTGAGAGATGCTACAGCCGTCTTTGATCACAACCCTAAGATTGGAACTGAAATCCATGGTGTTGATCTTTCAAAGCTGGATGATGCACAGCGGGATGACCTCGCCAGATTGATTGCATACCGAGGTGTTGTCTTCTTCCGTTCTCAAAAGAACTTTGATATCGACGCTCAACGAAAATTGGGACAATATTGGGGCAAGCTGCACAAGGTAAGATATCTGACTTGAGCTGATGTATACGAATATATTTACTAACAATATATAGCATGCCACCACATCCGTTCCTCGAAAGCCTGGTTTCGAGGATGTTCATGTTGTCTACACTGGTGACAACTCCAGCGACAACCGTGCCCTCTTCACTCCCAGTTTCTTATGGCACTCTGATGTGACCTATGAAATCCAACCACCATCATACACATCACTCAAACTTCTCTCTGGCCCACCCCGAGGAGGTGGTGGCGACACCCTTTGGTCCTCACAATATGCCGCCTACGACGTGCTCTCCTCGCACATGCAAAACTATCTCAAAGGCCTCACGGCCCTCCACTCAGCCGACATGCAGGCCAATGACTCTCGGGCACTAGGCCGGCCAGTGCGCCGAGACCCCGTCACCACCGAACATCCACTCATTCGGACGAACCCAGTCACCGGCTGGAACGGTCTTTTCTTCAACCCTGGTTTCGTGAAGAAGATCGTTGGTATCCCGGCTGCAGAAAGCGACGCTATAATCCGGTTCCTCACTGATGTGATCGCCACAACCCAGGAGATGCATGCCCGCTTCTCATGGGGTGAGGATGATGTCGCGCTCTGGGATAACAGATCCACCAACCACAGTGCTTCATATGGCTTTACGCCACACCGCCGCCATGCTGTGCGTGTTGCGGTCCATGCCGAGAAGCCTGTGTATGAAGAATCCGGGAAGTCTCAGGAGGATGAACTCAATGCTTTGTATGAACTGCCGGCAGTCAACAAGGATGGGTCTCGCCAGTCGAACTATAACGATTAGGTTGGCTGCAAAACATTCATGGTAATTGGTGTTTATTCTTTCTCCCATAGCACTTAGCGACATATTGAAATCAGCGAAATATAATCATTCTTTTTGTTATTATTACATGTGCCTGTTTGGACAAGTATCTCCCCTGAAGTCGCGTGAAGCTTTGCTTGCTCTAAATTTCTATAGGTCGTGCCTGCCTAATTAGGACTTTTTTTTTATCACCCCTCGTACCTTCCCAATTCACGTCTCAACTTCCCCTCTATCTCTTCACCCTCTGTTCCTCTCTTCCTCTCGTAAACAACTCTGCTTCACCGGTTCTCCTTTCTTTGCCACAAAATGGCTTCTAACCAACCAACTCTTCTTGAGTACGCGAGATTCTACAATATCGCAGAGGAGTCGACTCGATATTGTCCCGTCAATTATGTAGACGAGACATGTGAGCCAACAACCCCCACTCCCCCTGTTGAGGGTCTCGACCCCGAAAATCCAAAAGAACGCCTCAAGGAAGTCGAACGACGCTTCTGCAACGGGCTCATTATGGAAAGGCTCGCAATTCAGCCTGAGGATATCGAGTTCCTGAGCGGATGTCTCAAGATCAAGCCCATCGAAGGAAACATCTGGCGAGGCATCCTGCCTGAAGTGACAACCTCTGATCTTAAAGGCGAGCCTTATCTCCTCACAGCTGAGGATGAGAGATTGGTCAATTCGTCTGATTTCAACACCACCTTCCCTGAGAGTCCGGCTCTCTCTTCGCCTACCCCTTCGGTTCATCTGGTTGTTCCTAGTGGCCCTGATGTTCCTGTTGTCCCCATCAACACCCGAGCTGTCTTTGATCACTACAATACGGGGATGGTGTCCTGGCCAACCGGTTGGGACAGTTGTACTCTGTCTACCGAGATGCCTGTCGTGTCCAGCAATATTGCTCCCACTCCCACATCCCATCTTACAGGAGACGTCTTGCCCCCAATTGTGGAACCATCTGGGACCGTGCATCAGTTTGTCAGTATTGAGTCTGACCCTGTTCTCTCTATCAAAGAAGAGGAGAGTGAGGCTGACGATGCAAGTGCGCCGAGCACTGAGGTGAGTACTAAATCGATGATTATTGATGCCAGAAGTAGCTAACCAAGAGCAGTATGCCACCGAAAGTGAATTCAGTGCATTTGTTTTTGATAACACCACGCCCGCACCTCCATTGTTCGAAGTCAGTCCATCCAACAAATCGCAACCCACCTTCTATATTGTTTCCCCCAATCTGACCAAAGAAAAAGGTTTCCCCGTTGGCTGGAATGACAGCCAGAAAGCGCAAGTACCCAGAGATTTGAAGGAGGAAAACGGAACGAACGCTTTCTTGGAGTCTGCGGTGGATACAGGCATACATTGTGAACAGAAAGGAATTATGGCCGCTTCTATCAGTAGGATTCATGATGACACACTTGTTGTGAGCAAGGGTACCTGTCCGAGTTCCTCGATAACTCGGCCAGCGGACGATCAAAATACCACTCAGCTAGCACGGGCTTCGCAGAATGCAATCCATAAGCATGTTAATCTCAAAACTTCATACGAGCAACCCGCCAATATTATGGGAACACATGCTTCCTCATCTGTGGACAAAAGAGACTTTTGCGTAGCTCAGCAGGAGCAGTTCCACATGAAACTGGGCTACAAGTCACACTCCATGGGATTCAGAAAGGTCCCCTTCAAGCCTCCGCATGATGTTTCTTCCGTAGATTATAAAGAGACCCCCAAACCTTCCAATGCCGTGTTTGGTGGCCTTGGATCTTTGTCTGTATTTATGCAAACCAGGGGCAGTGACAGAGGAGATGACACTTTGTCGCATGATCCATCATCTGTGTCGCTGTCAGGATCCGCAATAAGTGGACAAGGCGTATTCTCAAATGTCTCTTCACTCGCAGGTGACAGTCCCCCAGGCCCTAATGGGACGGGTCCTCTTCGCAAACCGAGCCCTGAGGTGTCATTGCAGCAAATGGTAACCACCTCGGCATTCCATCCGCCACCGATGTTATTCTTGTCTACCACTCTCTTATCAACTCACCTGTCGGTTATACGAGATATCGAGGGATGGCCAGATAATCCACCCAAATTGATCTACAGGGAGTATGGAGACGCTCTCTCGGATCCCCGAGACCACTGTGATGCAGAAGTCATCCTGACACCGGATACTGGGCTTATTCTGACGACCCCTCAGGAGTTGAGCCAGCGGTATCTTCCAGGGCATGGTCCAAAAGATCCAAGACTCAATGGAATCCAGGGAATGAACTCCCCGCTCAGGGAAAAGATTTTCCGCCTCATGCATCGCTATGCGCTTCTGGTTGTTCTCATCTGCGACCCTGACGGTGACAGCACGGACGTCAGCAGCGATGTGATTCTGGCCGAGATACGGGAACGCAGGTCGCTTGCTCAATTCTGTGACAGCTACTTTGAGGAATTGGCAACAACATTGCTGGTACCGATCCCGAACCACTCGGCATCCATTGTATTGTGGTGTTTCGGTATGGGAAGGCTTCGATACGAATTACTCCCCACTGAAGTCATGGAAAACATCACTGAAGAGGAGTCAGAATATGAAATTGCTCTGCGTGACCTAGGCATTAATCCTTTCGCGGCGCGCCTCATTTTGGATAACATTCGCGTTGGTGGTTTCAACCAAATTCCTGGGTTCAACCTCTACCCACTCCCCCTGCCCTCTCATGAGACAGTTGCCAATGTCAGCACAGATTCAAGGGCCTTCGACGCATTTATGAACATGTCACCCATGGAGCGGGATATGGAATATGGGTCTTTTGTAGGCGAGGGGGTGATGAACAGGGTTTCGGAAATGATTGAATCAATGGCGCACTCGGGCTCCAATGAGACTGAGACCGCGAGTGAGGATACTTACAGTACACAGATCAGCCTTGAGTAGATTGTGTGTGGACATGGGCTTTCATCATTAGCAAGATGGGTAGGAAGATGCAGATATCAACTGTTGCGTGCCGAAAACCAGTATTGATAATTATATTCAGTTTATCAAATGAATACCTCTTATTGCACACCTGGCACACCTGACGGACTTTCAAGATATCTAGAAAGACGCATACTGATAGCACCCAATTGATAATTTGGAAGATAGACTAAAGAAATGGAGAGGAGATGATCAAGTCTGCAATTACCGACTACCCACCTCAGTGTAAGCACTGGGAGAAGGTAAGCCGCAGTTTAATTTAAAAGTACAGTGGACAAAGACATGCAAGACCCAAGGCCAATCCAGCGCTTCAAAAACTCATGCAAAATAGAAAGACAGGCCAAAATAGGAGCAACTGATATGATACTTAAACAATCAAATGTTAAATATCACCCAGTGAGAGCATCCCCATTCGCTATTATTTTTTGTTTCTTTTTGGTTGTTTTTTCTTGATCGGTGTTCTTGAGATCGTTGAGAAAGGTCGAAGCTCATGACGTCGCGTCAATATTATACACATCAGGGGTCTTCCAATATCCCCGTCGCGATTTTACAGCGAAACAGGGGATTGGTGTCGACATGACAGAGGGGTGTTGGATGGCGGCGAAACAAAATCATATAAGAAATATTGTCTTGGTGACTAATTTACTCCTTGATCTTGGCCAGGATACTAGTGTGGCTGTCAGTTGTTGTTCTCAAAACCGAAGAAAGGGAGGGAGGAAACATACTCGTGATCCCGGAACAGGGTGTACTCCTCCTCACCGACCTTGATGGCGTTACCACCGAACTGAACAGAGATACGTTAGCATATATTGTTCGTTGCATTCGCATTCACCGAACGCGGAAATGCGAGGGGGATTATTGGGACCACATACCTGGGGGATGAGGACCTTGTCACCGGCGCTGACACCCATGGGGATACGCTTTCCGTCGCGGTCAATAAGACCGGGGCCAACAGCGAGGACCTGGGCCTCGTTCTGCTCCTTAACGGCAGCCTCGGGGAGGAAGATACCGGAGGCAGTCTTGGCCTCGGGCTTGATGCGCTGGACCAGGACGCGGTCCAGGAGGGGGGCAAGAGACTTGATGTTACGGAGGACAGACTAGAAGGGAAGTGAAGTTAGTGGATTTGTTACTTATGAGGCAGGCGAATTGAATTGGGGATCGCGCGGCGCGGTTTTCGGGTATCCGGGCTCTCGGCTTGAGGGAAGGAAAAGTTGGACGTTGAGGTACTGGTAAGCTCTCCGGGAGTTGGGGAAATACGGAATTCCGGAGTGCGGAATTAATCGGGATATACCACTTACCATTGTGAAGGTGAGGGTGAAGGAGACTGGGAAGATGAAGTTGACGATGGGATGGGGAAGGGAAGAAGATGGATTTGGTCCGGGGGAAGAAGATCTGGACTGGAGAAATTTCCAGAATGCCAAGACCGAACCATGAGCTTCTTTCCGAACAGTCAGTCCTATTTCCCTTTGGACTCTATCGTTCTCTCAAGGAATCAATTACTAGAAATTTATAATCTACTTATCTGTTCATCTTTTAGGTATTCCCTGACATTTTTTTAAATTGAAATGCCGGATGTAGCTGTCCGTCTAGGAAGTTGTATGTTGTACACTCCCTTGATCTACAGCTTTACTTCTACAGGAAAAAGCTTGAACTTGTAATTGTCCATTATCATTGTCATTCCCTTTGTATGCATGAAACGCCATGAGATCCCATTATTCCAAGGGCGAACCCGAAGCTACCATCACAGTAATACGAATCCCATATCAAACTACCATCTTCGGCCACGTCCTCGGCCCCCGTAACCTCCTCCGCGTTGATCATATCCGCCGTAGCCCATTTGACCCTGACCCCCTTGGTTGAATCCTTGACCTTGGGGCTGGCCTCCGAAGCCAGGTTGACCCTGCTGACCACCGGGAGGCATCATCGACTGGGCGTGTTGCATGAAAGCCATAGGATCCATGTTTGATGGGTCCAAGCCCTGGGACATCATGCTGGCAAGCATGCCCTGCATCATATCAGGATTCATATCTGGCATACCGGGCATGCCAGCCATGGGCGGCGCAGCACTAACTGGAGCAGCGGGGCCCGGTGCACCAGGCATCGGGGGCATTCCCATACCCATGAAGGCCTGCATATCGTCCATCTGTTTCTTCTGACTACTAACTTCCTGTCTCAAGCCCTGTTGTTTGAGACAGTATCCTGCCCATGTGAACTCGTCGAATCCGTAGTTGAAATAATCGGAGAGATCTGACCCAGGTCTGCGCCAGGGCTTGTCGTCGGATGGGAAATCGGCATCCATGTCCGTGGACATGATCGGCTTCCCTGTCATAGGGTGAATAGGGTTTGCATTGACGTCGATGGTGGAGCTATGAATGGCTGGATATGCGGAGCCTGGCTTTTCTGAGGAGGGTCTTGCGGCCGTGGCTGGGTGTCCGGGAATCGGAGTCGATGTTTCATATCGAGGAGTCGCGGATGGTGTCGCAGACCCTGTTAACCCGGATGAGTCTGCGGAGGACGGCCGCTGTGGTTCTTGTCGTAAGCTTGCATGGCGCGGGTGGGAGCTAGAAAGATCAGTGAAAGTGCAGGGAGCGCGATGGCAGCTAAACTCACGCTTCGGGAGCTGGTGCGCCTTCAGGTGCCTCTGTGATAATATTGAAGTCGTCCTGCAGATGGAATTAGTAAGGGAAAAATTGCAAGTACGTATAAGCAGGGTGCATACATCGTCTTCCTCTTCCTCTTCTACCTCATCGTCGTCTTCCATGTAATTGTTCTCCTGCGGTTGGCCTGGAGCTGCATTTTGTGTGTGGTTCTGCGATTGCGTTGTCGGCACCGCGTCGACAGGATCATAGAAGTCGTCTTCTTCTTCGTCCATGGTTTCTGAATTTCAATTCTACGGGTAAATGCTGCAGAAAGTTGTATCAAAGAGGATCAAGATCGAAGGTTGCGCGCATGGGAGCCGAGTTTGTCTTGTTTGCAGCGCTGTGTCTTTAGACCATTTCAGAGTTGAAACATACGAAAGGGAGAGGATTGGAATTGAGACACTAAATCAGCTATTTACATACGCAATTGTGAAGGTATTCCTCTATTTTAAATCTACACTTTTTTAATTCTGGTGATCTTGCAGAATATACTCAGAACGCTAGAGATTCAAGGTCACGTGCTAGTCACAAGACGTCACTGGCCGATGTCTTAATTCTCTAATCTCAGTAGTCAAATCTAAGCTAATTGTCTCGCAATTCAAAATGGCAGAAGAAGAGAGTAGAACTTCTACTCCACGGTCCTTCGCTGGCCAAAGCGTCTCCGCGGAGGAGATGCTCAAAGAGCAAACTGTCGGTCTTGTTCATCTATCCGATTTTCGCAAGCGGCGCGCGGATGTTCTAGAGCAAAAAGAACGCGAAGCGCATGACAAGTCTCTGGGACTACTGGCATCTGGTAATTCAAGAAGCGCAACCCCCTCTACAGGCGATGTAACTGACGGGTAAGTCAAGAGCCTCGATTTTTATTTCCGTTCATTTGAGCTGATCGCAGCGCAACAGGTCAACACCTCCCCGGAGTGACGGTCCCGCGAAAAAGAAGAAAAAGAAGGTTTTGGCGAAAAGCAAGCTATCATTCGGTGACGACCAGGATGAAACAGGAGAGGAATCCGCGACAACTCCACGCGACTCAAGCGCATCACGGTCAGGCTCGAAAACACCCGCCGAAGATAGCACTACGCGACGCATGAAAGCAAACCCGAACGCACCACCTCCACCTAAAGCTTTGACAAAAGCAGCCTTGGAAGCTGAAGCGCTGGCTCGCGACACTCTCCGTAAGGAATTCTTGGTCATGCAGGAAGCTGTGAAGAATACCGATATCCTCATTCCATTTGTCTTCTACGATGGAACAAGTATACCAGCTGGAGCTGTAAAAGTCAAGAAGGGCGACCATGTCTGGTTGTTCTTGGATCGGTGCCGAAAGGTTGGTGCTGAGATGGGTGTACGTGGTGCTAGCGGTGCATCCAAGGCCAAGAAAGATAATCGCCGTGAATGGGCACGAGTCAGTGTCGACGACTTGATGCTTGTCAAGGGCGATATTATTGTTCCACATGTAAGTTCACCCGTCGGGATTACCATTGGTCAAGAATGTCATCTAATCTTCACACAGCATTATGAGTTTTACTACTTCATCGCCAACCGAGTACCCAGTCTTTCTCGAGCTGGCGGTTTGCTGTTTGATTATTCAAACAAACCCCCCGTTGCCAAATCCACTGATAATCCGCTGTCCCAACCTAGTGACGATCAACTAGAGGGCGCAGACAAGGATTACTCAGAAACCAAGGTCGTAGATCGACGGTGGTATGAGAAAAACAAGCACATTTACCCAGCCAGTCTGTGGCATGAATATGAACCCGGAAAAGAGTTTGAAGAGAAGATGACTTCAACACGGCGCGATGCTCAGGGAAATACATTCTTTTTCTAGCTCGCTGAAAATATGAAAATAATCACTGTAATAGACAAATACCACATGTTCTCTGTCCAAGTTGTTGTTTCATTACAAGATTGCCTGTCGGGGTTGACTAAACTAATAAAATACAAGGCTAATTCGTGACCTTCAGTTCTTGCTCCCTTGAACCACATCCCATCGCCAGCGACAACATGGATTTTTCTTTAAGATGCAATTCCCTCAAATGTCGGGCAGAATTGAAAGAGAAAGCAGTGGTGACAACCTGCTCGTAGGTATCTCACTCGTGATGCAGCTTAAACGAAAGACTGATGGTTTCAGGCACATCTTCTGTCATGCATGCGCAGATAGCCTTGGGCTCTCTCGCCCAACCACCAGCAGTCGCCACTGTCCTGCGTGTCAGACAGTACTTCTTAATCCAGATGACGCTGTTTCAACGGTCTTGAACCCGACTGAGGACTACAAAACAAGTGTGTTGAGTGGGTTGGATCCAAACACAATCATGGAATGTGCTGGTCGCGCACTTGCATTTTGGGCATATCAAAGTACACAGGAGATGTCCGTATCATTTCCCGATGTAAAATGCCATTAATTATGGGATTGGCCAAGGCTGACTCGAGCAGTTTCTACCAGGAATACCGGGCAAAGTCACTCACAGAGAAGTACGCCAACCTGAACACGCAGATGGACAAAGTCATCCACAACGCCAACACAGAGATCCTGGCACTGCAGAACAAGCTGTCCGGTTGGTCCAGTTGAATCTACTCTTAGAGATCCGACTAACATATGTACTACAGATATGCAGTCAACTCAAGAAGACCTCCAAAAGAAAAACCTCGAATTGAATGATATGTACCGCGACAAGAACAACAAACTTGCTCAAATGACCAACCTCTACAACCTCCTCAAAGCTCGTGCCATGCGATCTCGGATGCAGACTGCAGCTTCAGACACAGTATCCCAAGCTCTATCATCGCTCAATGCCCCTCCTCCTGCCTCGGTTACTCGATCTGATGCCTCAGCACTGCCTTCTGCCCCGATTACACGACATCCAAATACACCCACGTTTCCCGTCAATGCAGATGGAGTTGAGCAACTTCATCGACATCAACGAAGCGGCACTGGTAGTTCCAAAAGGGGAAAGACGAGAACCTCTCGCGAAGCCCCAATGCCTCCCCCTGCTCGGCCAAACTGGGATGGAGGGAATAGTATGTATTTAACACGGTCTCTAAGGCATTCCAGCTAATGTGCCTCTGACTAGATAGAGGTCCAGATCCCACCCTACAACATCGTACCCGACTTCCACGTATTTCTCGGACTCCGACTATCTCCTCCGAGTTTCCTCTTGGGGATGCTATTACACAACGGTTTGGTCGTTGATCGTTTATCTGTTGGTTGGGGTATTTGTATAAATATGGGGCGGTCGTTTCTACTGATATTTCGACTCGGAGTCTGATTTTTTATGTTGAAGCTCTTCGGGCTTGGTATGTAGTACTTGAATGACAATAGCCAATCTCCCATTTTAAACTTGTATCGTATATACAAATAAATTATGTTAATATCTCCCTTTGTAGAGAGAAATAGGTAGGAAGTACGTTACCTCTTCGTGGGAAAGACAAGCAGTCTGATATCTCCAGGCGACATGACACTAGGGCCACGATAAACAAAAGTCACATACGGGAAACATCTCTATATGTATAGACTCAGCTTCACACTCCCCAGTTGAATCACATAGTATGTCTACCTCTGCATATGTGACTTCCCAGTTTTGTTAGACCTGAAGATAGCCAGCGCATGTCTCTTCTATCAGCGAAGCCATCTCCTTGCCTTTTATTTTCTTTACTTTCCTCGTCATCATCACCATCATAACACCTCATCACACAACACTATGTCTGCAAATCATCGTACGTTACACTTTTTAGCTATTTGAGAGTGCTTCTAACTTGCTGCGCGCTTTAGCTTACCGCAGTCTTCAACTGCCCCCGGATGCACCATTTGAGCTGAAGCCCTCGCCAGGCAAAGGATGGGGTGCTTTCGCCACAAAACGGATTAGATGAAGATCCCTCATCTTGAAGGAAAAGCCCCTCCTCGCTGTGCAGAAATCATCTCCTCACACCGTGGAACATGACGTGGCTAAGGCCTTTTTACAGCTGCCACCCGATCAGAAAGCACAATTCGTATCACTTTACACCAATGGATTAGAGCGATATCGATGTATACTTGAGGTTTTAGCTGAAAACGCCTTCCTCCGGAGGGATGGGACGCCAGGCTTTGCGATGTACATCCTTTGCTCGCGATTTAATCATTCGTGTTCGGCCAACGCAACACTTCTAGTCTTCCCAGGGCTATCCATCGAAATTTATGCCACCAAGAACATCGAAGCTGGCGAGGAAATCTACGTGTGCAAGTATCAAGAGCTCAACGCCAAAACTAGACACAAGCGTCATGATCCCTCGGATTTGTGTGCGATTGCAAAGCTTGTCTGCCTGGAACCCCTTTTCAAGAACTTAGCGACCTGAGACGACGATTGATTCGCGGGATACTCTACATTACGCGAGGAGTCGACTTGGACAAGAAAATACGAGCCTCACACTCACCCTTGATTATGGATCGCAGAATGAAAGCTGCTGCTGAAAGCCACAACATACCTCTGACATCTAGTTTTGTCCTGCATCTCCTAATGATTGTCTTGCTTAAAGAAGAGGGCTTGCTAGACAAATGGAAGATGGACAAACTGGAGTTAGGCATGTACCAACTCTTTCCATATTTCAAGGCAGAAGACAACAAGAGAATTGTCGGGATTGCTCTGGCACAGACTACTTAGATCGAAAAATTTGCAGCGGCATTCCAAATGTATGGACGAAAAGATCCTGAGGATACTTCCTTCAACCAACTAGAGCAGCAGCTGAGCCAAAAGTACCAGGCGGGGCAAGATGTGCCACCCTGGTGTTGATTCTTATTTCCGAGATTCTTTCTTATTTTTTTCTGCTTTAAAGTGACGTATCAGTCAATTTTTTCCATGTGTCTTGAAATTCTTATGGTATCACACTACATTTGTGTAGACCTACAGCTAGCAATCAAAAAAGCCTTGTTTTGATCGTTTCCATTTCCTTCAAGATATTTTGCTGGAGCAGTATTGATATGCAATACAATTTTGCTGAGTGCAGCGAATAAAATGCTATACACTCTATAATATAGAGTACTATGGGGTAGGTAGTGCAGATATAGATCTCGGGTGTAAAACTTCATATCAACAGAGGTTATAGTGGTGAGACCCTAATCTAGCAGGAAAGAGGGGCTTTAAAGCTTATTTTGATTTAGAGGCTTTAATAGCAAGGTACCTATAACCTGAGAGATCTAGAAGGTTACTATGAAACAGAATTCCCTAGAAAAACTCTGTAGATGCGTGAGAAAGAAAGAAGCTATCTACACTACTAAAGACTCAAGTGTTAGGAATAAACAGGGAAATCACATGGTTTATGATAGCCATGCTGCGTAACGAAAGTTAAAAATAAACAACATAGCTTTTTCAGTTAGACTGTAAGGTCTGCAGGCAAAAGTTCAGGCAAAAGTTCAGGCACCAACGTGTGATATAGACCTTCCCTTTTGAAAAAGCATATGTTCCTATAAATGTCAGACAAACAACTACTTTTCAATCGACAATCCGGTCAGTGGCTGATTGGATTCCTCTGCTAGTATGCACTCCCCCCCCGCTAGTCGGAGCTCGAGTCCTTCAGTCCATGATTAAAATTCTTTAAAAAAAGAAACATGCTAACCTATCCTGCAAAATGGATAGGCGTGACCTGGGCACAGTGTACTGAGCTGCGATTCTCAATTTTTGTTTTTTTTTTAGATCAGCCTACTTATATGTTTTTCTCTTGCTCGCTTTATTCATTACTTCTTTTCACCTAGGTCTAGGAAACCAAGGCCAGTCTGCACATGAAAATATTCACCGAAGAGAGAATAGTTTGGAAAAAGGCTAGCCTTCACTAATACATGCGCCTCCACCTAGTTCACTTAAACCAATCAAAACCCACTCTCCATTACAAACTTTTGAATTGGTGCAGGGGTGAAATGGCGGTTGTGCTCATCTGTGAACTGGCTAATACGTGCGGATTCCTCTTGGGGATCGCAAGAACACCGATTTCCAAACAAGGATTATTGCGGGTTATGTTGATAGATTTTACCTTTTGGCTGGTCAAGCAGCCCTCCGAATGCCTAGGTTGAGACAGATGAGGCTTGTGACGAATACTTCCCGGGACACACATTCGAGTATGATGTGCAAGCGGGAAGGGCGAAGCTCAACTAGAGCAATGAAGACATATCAGACCCATGTGAAAGCAAAGCCTCGGTAAGGGTATACAAGGCTAAGCGCATATATCAGCCGACTGAGCGGGTCTTCAAGATTTGGAGAAAAGTTGCCCTTCAACACATTGGAAGTGAACTCAAGGTTGAATTTAAAAAGTGGGGAAAATGGAAACTTGAATGAGTTCAAGATTTCAGTGTGATATACCGCTAAAATATATTATCATCAAGAGGTCTATACTCTATATGTTACAACATTATAGTTCTTTGTTCCCCTTAAAAACTTCGAGGATGATACAAGTCCAGCCAGAGAAACTTCGATGAATCCAAAATTGCCCACACCCTCTCCTCTCAAAATTCTCCCTCGAATACAAACTTCAACACAATACCACCGCCAATGACTATAGAACTCAACACAGGAAGACTAATGAGCCCAGCAACGCTGAAAGGAACCAAAGCCATCTGTTCCTCCGGCTTTAGCATCGCTGACTTGAAAAACCAAGGAGACGTAACACCCAGCCATGTCATAACCCAGCAAAAGCCAAGGATCCTTTGCCATAGTGGGGGCAAGCCAGCATTGTCCTGGGAACCTCGCGTTCGTTTCCAGAGAGCCAGGACACCGTCTTCAATCATATAACCGAAAACAAAAGAGAGGAAGAAGGACATAGTCCCCATTTCCCATGGTGAAATGTTTCGCACAGTGTCGACTACTACGTGGATTAAGCCGGAGAAAAAGAAAACGATGAAAACGTTGGTGTATCGTTCGATGAACGATGATCTGGGTAGGCCGAGGACATCACGCGCAAGAAAGTTGCTAGTCGACGTGAGAGGAATTCGTAGCATCTGATGCCAGAATTTTCTATGAGAACCACGAAGTTTAGATCTAATCAAACCAACGAATATAAGTACAACTTACCCCCAGAAATTCCGTAGTGTATATATATCTTTCATTCTCCCAACAAGTGGCGGGCTGTTCGAGGGAGGATCCCCCAGGCTCACAAAGACGATCGCAGAGACGCGGTAGTAAAAGCCCATGAGGACCCGAAGCAGAAATAACCAAGTAAAAAGCATCTGAATAGCCTCTGCTATCCTCCCTAGCCCCGGCATATAGCCAGAAGAAATTGAAGTTGAAGATTGTTCCTCTTGGTTCTCCATAGCTTGTCTAGATGCCAATACAGTAATTGTATCTATAGCTAGAAACTGCCAGACAGCAATAGCACTTTCTCTAATCAAGAAGCGACCTCGCGGGATCACTTTCGAATCTCTCTTGCTGTAGTATTCTTGGAAAGGCGGAATATTCTTCGCTTGTCGAGGTGTGTTGATCGCGCGTGAGCATGTGATTAGTTGAAAAGCTTCAAATAGTCGAGATAAAAAGCTTTTTTGCTTTCCATTAGCATCGACGAAGTCGCTCCCAGCTTGTGGCTTGATCAATAGAAGTTCCAGAGCTGTGAGGATGAAGGTTGCACTGTTTCCAATGAGAAAGGTCGATGGGTATACCGGTGTGTGAATAGGGTACATCATTTGGGAAACGAGCCATATCATAACTGGTATAGACAAATAACGTAGAGTTGACCTTTTGGGTGTTGTGATTAGGAGGACAGTGGGGATGAGACACTGGAGGGCGAAGAGAGCGAACAACCGCCCGTTCGATTGATATTCAGCCATGACGGTTGGGGATAAAAGAAAGCGGCGGGTTGCTGTTTCGGGTTCATTTGTTGAAATAGTACAGATGAATAAAACTATACTTGCATGTATAGAATGAGTTCGATTCTTCCAAACATGATACTATGGAAGACTAGAAGTCGTACTAGAAGAAAATTGTAAAGCTGTCGAAACTCGCCAAACTTAGAATAAAGCCCATATTTAAGGACTTCTAATCCTGTAATCCATATTCGATTTGTAATAGAATCACAAAGAATCTTGGAAAGATAAAGAGAATGACATCGGAGTTCGGCTGAAAATACTTAAATGCAGACCAAAGTAAAATCCCTGCAACACAATGCACTTTACATGCAGAGAAAGGCGTAAATTGGGGGCCCAGTATGTATAATTAGGGGCCGTCGGATTGATTTACATGATATTAATTAGTGAATTGGGGCGTTTGCGTAAGCCCGTGGTGGGCCCCGATGCTTTGACCTTTAAAATATCACCCGTAGACGCCAATGTTATATAAGTATATTTTTACTATGGTCGTATTATCGACCATTTGCGTTCCTGGCTAAGGAATTGACGGCTCCTACAATTCTAAAACCTTCAGGTTAAGGAAACCGGATATCCGTGTCTGCAAAGTAGCCGCATTTTTCAAGTAACTTTTGGCGGCTGATGGTGCTAACCCGAATCGATCTATATATATACGCCTAGATTAAATATCCAACTCCTCCTTTCAAGGTTGAAACACTCTTAGTGTTTCGTGTTCACCGCTTCTCTATTCCGGGGGTAGTTAATATGTGGTAGGCCTTGTTTCCTGGATTAATTTGTGTCTTACGATTATCTTGCAAAGACGCTATAGCCTGATAATCTTTATGGAAGAGTCGACCTATATTTGTGAGATGTATGGCTTTAAGGTGGAAATCTGAGCCATCACCTGGCCCTCATGGATAGACGAGTTTATGTTCTATTCTTTGCATTTATCAGTTCGCATATATGTGTACGGAGTACTACATACACGATATCGCACTTATTCGGTGAATATATACATACGAAATACTCCGCACCTGATATCGCATTTATTCGGCGAATATATATATATACATTAGTCGTGACGTCATGAATAGCCGCCAGATGTGAGGACAGGGCGTTAAACATTCGCCACTGTGTACTAACAAGTGAGCATGCTGCAGTCATTACTTTGTAATTTATACCGTGTCAAATAATATGTTGATCTTGTAGTGACCCGTATGAAATCGAGCAAGATATATACTTGATTACAACTGAAAATGACCTTGCCTTATGTACCATATAGTAGGATCTTCTAAGCGTGTAGCAATATATATCTCTAGTCCTGGCCAACCCATTTCGAACCCGTAGAATGATTATTCCCATATTCCAACAATATACCAAATGTAAACTCTACATAGGTTTCCCAATTCTAGTAAAATAGAACCTGGCTTCTTTTATGTTGTGGCCGAGGCACACATGACCTGTCAATATAAAACGCGTATCCCAAGTAAAGAAGAACATGTCCGCAACAAAGAAATCCCCTGTCAGATATACCGCCAAGCAACCTGTTAGTTCCATAGTTTATACTAATTGCATCCCGCTATGACGGCCGCTTGCAGCCTTTGAAATTATGTTACACAAGTATGTTGTATGTAGGTACCATGCCAACGCCGTCCGCCACCCCTTACAAAAAAGAGCAACCTACATATGTTGTACAACGAAGAAAGCACATGTTATGTCCCAATAAACCACCTTCCAACCCTAACCCAAGCACTATAGACACTAATCCTCTTTCAATATAAGAACAAGTTAGCCCCCGCTCGTCCGATGCTTATCTTGCCCTAATCTCGGGGCAACGGAAGGGTTACGTCCACACACCTCGGTATGAAGCCCAGCTCCAGCACGGTCCCTACTTTATCCTAGGATCTGATCGCGGGACCTGAAGCCGTTATCGATCAGTGCAGAAGCTCGGGAAGAGCTTGTGTGGAGTCTCTGGTGCGGGAGCTTGTTTGGTTTCCTGGAACCTGGAGATGAGCTTATTCAAAATTACAGGCCGTATGCATGTGTATTAATTACCCTGGTATTTTTGGACATTGATTTTTTTTCATCTCCATTTTTCACATGTTCATTTTCCCACTAGACATATTATATACAATACCTAGGTGCCTACATAGGTATACTATCGATGTTTCAAATCTACTGGATTTATGTTTACATATAAAACAATTCTGGGACAATAAATGCCTATCATTGATATTATCCGACGGGACATCACACGATCTAAATCCGTCAGGAGTGAACATAGGAAAATGAAATCTAATCAACGGAGAATCATGTACGTCGGCACCAGAAGGACCGGGTCTTTTCGCCCGGGCGGGAAGTAACGCCATACCCTCAGCAAAATAGGACAGACGCCGGGGTGACATCTACATCCGCAGACCTCCCCCGGAATCCCGCAAAAAACAAGTCATATCATGCCATGCATTATACCACAAACCGATGCAACGGACACACGCTGCAAAGAACAAACATCAAATAAGGATTAAACAGTTTAAGCGCCGAATTCCTTGACGTCGCTCTTCTTGCCCAGGAGGGCAAGGGGGACGATGCCGCTGACGTGCATCTCCGGTCCGTAGACGTGCATGTCGAGGCCAAGCTCGATACCGACGGACTTGATGTTCTTGAGACCCTCCTGGTAGTTGGGGCCGGCACGGCGGACCCAGATCTGGACCTTGTGCTCGTTGAGGACGGTAGCGACCTCGCGGATAGCGCGGATGACACCCTTGAAGGTGCTGGCCACGTTGGTGAAGTTGGCAATACCGCCACCGATGAAGAGGACCTTGCCCTCGGGGTGGGTGGGGGCACGCAGCATCAGGTCTAGCACGGTGCGGGCGTAGTTGAAAGTCTGGGTCTCGGTGGGGGCACCAGAGTACTCGCCGTAGTTGGCAAGCTCGCTGACGAAACCAGCGGAGGCAATGGCATCGGCGTAAACGACGGAAGCACCACCACCAGCGACAAGGGTCCACACGCGGCCGCTGGAGTTGAGGACAGTCAACTTGAGGGAGGCACCGGTCTTGGCATCCATGTCGGAGATGAACTTCTCCTCCTTGGACAGCTCACGACCGAAGGGGGCGGGGAACTCCATCGGCGGGCCAGCGTCGATACTAACCTTGCCATCAGCCGAGGCGAGGATAGGGGAGCCCAGGGCAGCGGGGCTGCGAGCAACGGCCCACTTGGTACCGCACTCGAACTCAGCAGTCTGGTCGAGCTTGGCGGCCAAATCCAAGAAGTGAACATCGGCGGAGGTGGCGTCAGCGTTGGGGATGACAACCAGAGGGTTGATCTCGAGGTAGGTGAACTGGCAGTCAACGTAGACGGCGTAAAGGCGAGAGATGAAGTCAACCAGGACATTGTGGACACCCTTGGGGACCTTGCTCAGCAAGGTCGCGGCGATCTCCTCATTGGAGGGGTACTGCTTGAGGTTGACGGGGATCAACAGCTTCTCGGCCTTAGCATCGACATCACCGACGTCAACACCACCCTCGTGAGTGAAGAGGATCCAGTCACCCTAGATATTGAACCATTAGCTTTCAGTTCTTCCAAATATTTTTTTTTTCTTCAATTGCACCTATCGAAACTGCGGGGAAAGCTTACCTCACGAACGGAGTTGATGTTGATGTAGTATTCGGTCTCCTGGGGGTGGGGAACGAAAGGCTCAACCAGGAATTGACGGAGAACACCAGTGACGGTCTCAACCACAACATCCTTGGTGGCACGAGCCTCAATCCAGTCGCGGGCCTCGGTCCAGGTCTTGTTCAAGGCGAGCAGACCGCTCTTACCACGACGCTTGATCAATTGATCGGGTTTGGCGACAAACTTAGCGCCGGGGGTCAGAAGCCAAGGGAAGGAGACCTCAGCCTGATCAAGGACATCCTTGACGGCCTTGTCATCGGGGAAGTGAAGGGAGGCGAGGCGAGCAGGAGGGTTGTGAGTTGCGGAGGCAGGGAGAGGAGTAGGCTTAATCACGGGAGCGCGAGTGAGGTGGTAATTGAGGATGGCCTTGCCGTCGGCCTCGAGGATAGATTTGGCGGACATGATGTGATGTGATGTGAATTAAGGAAAAGATGAGAGAAAGAAGGAAGGAGGAAAAGGAGGGGGGTATTTTTGAACTGAAGGTAAGAGAGGAGTTAGGAAAAAGGTGGGAAGTGGTTTTGGAGTGTACTGTAGTGTACGGCGTACAACAAAAAAAAAAGTTGTTCTGGATATTACAGCGTACAATTCGGTAGGTCCCCACCTTGTTGAGGAACTGACCAGAACGGAAAGAACCCCAAAGGAGATAAAATGAAAAAAAATGAAAGGATGGCTCTTCGTTGGGAAATTCTCCACAATTAGTACGGAGTACTTACTGGGTACATCTAGTGGCGCCACATATGCTATTTAAATCTATGTAAATCTATGTAAATCAATGTACTTCGAGGTTACTTCTTCCCCGATACCGCTGACCGAATGTTCAAATGTTGAGAGTTCGGATTGACCTAGTCTGGATGTTTTTCTACTCCGTATACTCCGTATACTATAAACTATATCATGTTGACTCTGGATAAACCGGGATTTACATTCGGGGATTTTATTACAATGCCCCCGAGGTCTACGAAGTGTATACCCCGATATTTTTAATATTTTTAATAAATTAATATTGTTATTTGGAATTGAGCATTAGTATAGTGTACATATTACTCTGTAGATATATAGTATGAATTCAATACTATATAGGATAGAGAAAGACTATATACGAACATCAAAGATATGTATACTATAGAAGTACATAGTATAGTAAAAAAGTGTTATCTACATATGCACATAATTCAAATGCAAAAATACATTACCTTGGTAACATGTGAAGATCATCCCCCGTAATCTTTCAGTAATGTGGATAACAGTATCGTCAGTACCCGGTACTTTGGGGACTGCCAAGTGTTGAGCTGTTTTCGATCCAGCGGTCTGGG